ATTACGTCTGAATGGTTTTCGATGAGCAACTTTCCCTCTAATCAAGACGATTCGAGGAAATCCGACTAGATTGAACGTGGAGACGACTAGATCGGAACTGCAACTCGTGGATTCGTTCAAGAATAACCATGGAAAGTATTTGAGGTAAAAGAGGAAAGGAAATGGAAAGTTCGGTTTTTAGACATTTTTCTTTTTCATTAGTCAGTCGTGATCGGTGTCTGCTGATCGAAAATATTAATGGAATTGCTAATAGATTCTTCAGATACAATAATCACGAGAAGGCATGAGTTATTCATAGGATTCTGGGGAAGAGAAGTAAGAACGAAGGGGTTGAACTCTGAAATGGGTAGAAGGGGCCACATGATTATTACGACTGGTGCGGATCCGAATGATTTCGTAATTCTCAGAGAATGTCTGCCTCATGGTGCGCCGTTGTGGAGCCGTTTGCTCCATAATAAGCCAAGAAATTACTGATCAGGAAAGCTGCATAAGTTTTTTTGAACGAACTGAACTACTGAACGAGCTGACCGTAACACACAATCTAGAAATTTTTGATAATTTAATAATAATTTACAGTATTGCGTCAGACTATGTTCCCTCGCCTGAAATTGAATTCCTTGATTAAAATCAAGTCTTTGACCCTCTAGGTACAATAACTTTACTTTAGATTACTCACTTTAGATAGATACTTTACTTTAGATTTATAGATCCTCGTGATTGGAGGTAGTGTAGTGGCTAAGGAGCACTACCACAGGTTCCAAGATTGCAAGAGGATTGGTACCCAGGCCTCCCATCCCTCCGAGATCGTTCATTGAAACCAGACTCGTCCGATAGAACGAAAGCACTGCCCTGCATTATGGCGCAGATCATTGTATAACCCACATAGGCATTCAAAGCATCACTGAGATTTTCATTGGGAATCTAATAAGAAGGGAAATCCAGAAATGGAATTAACTGTGGGTATAATGTCTATGTCGTCTCATGAATGTATCAGAAACGTTCCTAGGGTAAATTAATTGAAAACATCATCAGAATTGTTCCCACTCAAATTCATTCAACTATAAGAATGATGCAATTATTTGACCAGTACTCAGAGTGCTTCCTACATACAATTCACTCCTACAGCCTTTCGTTGGCATATGAACAGCGAAATGTGTTCTGAGGCTGGACCTCATGTAGGGTCCGGAAGAAACTAGAAAACGCTATGCAGCAATCGTCGTCAGCTACTGTATGTATATCTGAAAATTTGTAGCAAATTTAATATCCGCAACTCACTTTTGGTGTAGGTGAAAAGAAATTTCTACCAATCAGAATACTCGAATTTCTCAAAGCTTCTTCTTGAAAGTCTGATGAAGACAGGATGCTCACTTAGCTGCACCGTAGCAGGAAGGTTTGAGTACAGGTAATTTTTGCATTTCAACAGTTTATCGATAGAGCCATCTGTGCGGGAATAGTTCAGCTGCTTTCATTTTGGTGCTAAAATATGACAGAGAAAGAGCTAAGCGACAAACTGGCGTGTCTCTGCTGTATCTCTTTTCAGGTTTCGTCAAATGTCCCCCACGGCTGCCGTCGAAATCTCCTGTGTCGGGCCCGTCTTCCCCAATGAAATCTCGTATGCGACCCGTTATTTCCTTATGGCGAACCTGTTATGTGACTACGCAGATCTCCTTTTAAGGCCGAATTTTCGTTCAAATTCAACAGATGCTTGGAGAAGCAGCTTCTTCAGTTGCTGGGCAGCATACTATCTCACAATTATGAATGCTGACAGTAATTAATTTTCAATTCCCTGTTCTTTTCTCGTCACCTATCCTATTCTGGAGTCGTAGAAATTGTTTGCCCAGTGTTTCTACTATTTCTACATTCTCACTTTCCAGGATGTTGAGGATAGTGTCTGTCACTTGTGCTGTCTTAGCCGTTTCTGATGCATTCCTCTTCGGAGGCTCCGGCGGCGGTAGCTGCGGATGGTACGGTTGACCAACATCTTACTCTTTCGAACTATACTTGAAAATGAATGTTTACCTTTACAGCGCCCCACCACCACCTCCCCCATCATGCAGTTGTGCCCCTCCACCTCCAGCTCCATGTGCTGCCCCCGCTCCTGCATGTGGAGGTGCCGTAGGAGGAGGCTACGCTCAAGCACCAGCTGTCGGTGGACCGATCGGTGGTTTCGGAGGCGCCGGAGGATATGCGGGACCTGCCCCATACGGAGGAGGAGGTGAGTACAAGGTCTCTGCGAATGATCCCCGGATTGAAACGTTATTTTTCAGCATTCCCAGGAGCCGGAGGCAGCTATGCTGGTGCCGGAGGACTTGGAGGAGGTAGCTTCGGCGGTGTTGGCGGCGGAGCCGGATATGCTGCACCCGGAGGAGGATTCGGAGGAAATGGTGGAGGCTTCTCACAAGGTGGTGGTGCTGGATATGCCGGTCCCGCTCTCGGAGGAGGAGGTCCAGTCGGTGGTGCAGGATACGCCGGTCCAGCAGTCGGAGGTGGAGGTCCAGTCGGTGGTGCCGGATACGCCGGTCCAGCAGTCGGAGGCGGAGGTCCAGTCGGTGGTGCCGGATACGCCGGACCAGCAGTCGGAGGTGGAGGTCCAGTTGGAGGAGCTTCATACTCTGAAGGCCCAGCTGCCGGCGGTGAGTTTAGAAGCATTTTTCATGTTTTATGATCGTTGTGACAAAACGCTTTTGCAGGAGTCGGTGGTGGCCAAGGAGGATATGCCGGAGCCCACTAAACTGTCTTAAACGCATCAGGACTTCACCACCATGCCTGTCTGTCTATATCAGAAAATAAATATAAATGTATATACAGATATTTTGATCATCTGCACTCATATAGAATTCTATATTCTCTGCTTTACAGAGGAATTATAATAAGCTGGTACAAAACGTAGTACAGTGACGCTGCCTTCGTTTATAGCGATGTTCTTCACATGGTTATAAGTTTACTAGAAGGAACTTGATGATTAGTTAGCGGTCAAGAGACGTAGTGAAGATTAATAAAAGCAGAAAATTGCAATGTACCATACTTAGACGGCTTGGACATGAAGATCCGAACTCAAATTGATAATTTTGAATTTCGCAAAAAAAGGTGCATATTTGCATACGCCAGCTCAAATGAGCTCCTTAATTCATCCTCAGTGACCTCAGTTACCTTTTAGTAAGGATACGATAAACATAATATCGAGCATAATCAAACAAAAAGAGTATCTTTCGGTTCAGCCTGAGCGCCATGCATAGAGAATAAGAATCACCGCGGACAGGATCGCATCAACCTATAAAGGGTAGGTCTCTGCCATGCGACGTATTTGCCCCCTTTGCTCATTTCGGCTGTAGACTTTCCAAGTCCTACCCTGGAGAGGCATCAAACTGCTCAGAAAGACACTGCCAAAACGGAATTCTTCAGAAGCGCATTGAGTATGTATGAAGATTAGGCACTCCAGGTGGTCAAGGCAATCAGAGAAATAGGGCAGCTCCAGGCAAAGACATGCATAGGCGTGAGTCTTTTTGGCACTTCGGTTATTTTGAAAAAAAGTTCTAATTGTGCTTGATGAAAGTAATCCCAGAGCATCAGAGCAGGCATCTAACTTTGCATTACCCACGATCAATATTTGATAGACCATTACCCACCCTAACCGTATGCGACAGCTCCTATTCTGAACCTAGTAAGGGCTGACTGGTAACTGTCAAGCGGGCGACTATCGTGCGTACTTTTTGTTCCGTTCCATGCTGAATGATGTATCTACTGGAAAAGGCGCCCACACCTGAATTACTATTACGCCCGTCAACGTTTTTTGGCCGTCTAAGGTTCATAGATCTTCCAGGAACTCCTCTTCAAAATATCACTTCACGATGTCAGGTTACATGATACGGAGCAGCACCAGCCCTACACGTTGCACTTCTGTGTAAAAACGAAAGGGCAAAAATGCCCGATGGAGGCCAGAACTATCTTTCAGAAGTACACAGTACACTTACATGTGTGTGTGTCCTCTTCATGGATCACTTAACAGGAGAAATTCAAAGTTCTCGTCAGTGAAAGGCCGTGACAGTGGAGAGGAGAAAGTGAAGGTGTTGGGTGTGTCTAATCAGAACACTTCCATTGGACGAGTTGACTGGTAGGCAGCTCCGATCCACGTTAGTAACTGCAAAAACATCAACTTTGAATCTAAATTGATCAGTTTTCCACCCGATTTAAGGAGGTATTTTCATAAGATTGATCGAATGTGTTAATAGCAACTGTTTCCCTGGAAAGCATGTGAGCGAAGCTCCGATCTTGAATGGCTCCCAAAAGATTGCGAATTCAGATCTTCAGCGCTAGCTTCATGCGGTCAACCCGTGGCAGAAACTGATACGATGATAAAACCGGATTGCTAATTGGTATCATCTTACAGGGTCATCTTGTCCTTTAGAGAAATTTGTACTTGAGGTCAGAGGATTTCGTTTAAATGGAGATAGAAATCAGTGTCTTCCCTTTCATCGCGACTACTTTTCCTTTCTAAAGTTAGAACCTACTAATTCGATTTTTGCAAAGGATGCTGCTGGTAATATTCACATTTGCACTGTCGCTTTTCAAAACAGAAGCTTTCATCTATAGCTGTGATTCTTGTGATGACCTGCTACTCTCACTTTCACAGCTACTACGATTAGCAGCATACGCAGGAGAGACGCCCACCTGTGAAAACTGCCTGTGAGTTAAACAATGTCATTCCTAAATTTTAAAGTAATTCCAAATTTTTTGAAAAATCAATTTCCTACATTCGTACTTCGCGCAGGCTGCAGTGACGGGATGATTCAATAGCTATCCACGCTGAGAAGTAGTCTGACCACTTAATGTGGGAATAGGCGTTGTAAACCTCCCTTTGAGTAAACCATTGCCAGCTGGGAACATCGTCTGGGGACATCATCGGTAGTTAACTCCCAGTGAGACCTACCATATACTCTTACTTGGAAATTTTGATCACTCCTCACCACCACCGTTACTCGTTCAGAGTTATGCAATTCCCAATAGTATTCTTATTCGAATACTATTACTTCTGCTGAGATGGTCCTCAAAGAATGGCAATGAGCCAAGTACCCTTTCACTTTCCTTATACATACCCCGCTTGCGAAGGACTAGCTACATCTGAGTGGCGGGTTCACAGGTAGCCCCACGAGAAAATTGTGTAATTCTAACTTTCAACTTCGAATTCAGTATTTCTAATTGCAGAGGCAGCGACTATGGCTACACTTCTCCGTCTACCTGGCCTTACATGCACAACAACGTTGCCCAAACATCGCAAGCAACTTCAACCAATCAGCAGTACAACTCTTCTATGATAAGTAACTACCGATACGGGCCAGCCCAACAAAGCTACAGTGCGCCGAACTCAGAGAGCCATTACGGTCAGAAGCAGCAATTATCTGGTGCTTATTCGAGTTCTGGCCTAGGGCACACTCGAAGTAGCTACTTGAGCAGCAGCACCGCTCAAACAACCCAAGCAACTCCAGTGCAGCAGCCGTACGACTCTCCAAAGATCAGCAGCTACAGCGGAACAGCCCAACAAAGCTATAGCGTACCGAGCTCAGAGAGCCATTACGGTCAGCCCCAAGACTATTCGAGTTCTAGTCAAGGGTACATTCGTGGTAGTGACGTAAGCAGCAGCACTGTTCCAACAACCCAAGCAGGTCCAGTCCAACAGCCGTATAACTCACCAAAGACAAGCAGCTACAGTTATGGTACAGCCCAACGAAGTTACAGCGCATCGAGCTCAAAGAGCCGCTACGGGCAAAAGCAGCAATCATCTGATGCTTATTCGAGTTCTGGCCTAGGGTACACTCGCAGTAGCTACCTGAGCACAACTACCGCTCAGACAACACAAGCAGCTCCAGTTCAGCAGCCGTACAACTCTCCAAAGATACGCAGCTACAGCGGAACAGCTCAACAAAGTTACAGTGCACCGAGCTCAGAGAGCCATTACGGTCAGAAGCAGCAATCATCTTATGCTTACTCGAGCTCTGACCAAGGATACGCATCAAGTAGCGGCTTGAGCGGCAGCACCACTCAAACAACTCCAGCAGCTCCAGCTCAGCAGCCGTACAGCTCTGCAAGGATAAGCAGCTACCGATCCGGACCAGAACAACGAAGCTATAGCGCACCGAACTCAGACAGCTCTTACGGTCAGAAGCAGCAAACATCCAATGTCTATTCGAGTTCTGGTCAAGGATACGCATCAAATAGCGGTTCAAGTAGTAGCATCGCTCAAACAACCGAAGCAACCCCAGTTCAGCAACAGTATAACTCTCTAAAGATAAGCAGCCACCGGTACGGGCCAGCCCAACGAAGCTACAATGCACTGAGCTCAGAGGGTCATTACGGTCAGCCTCAAATCTATTCAAGTTCTAGTCGAGGGTACATTCGTAGTAACGACGTGAGCAGCAGCACTGCTCCAACAACCCAAGCAACTTCAGTCCAACAGCCGTACAACTCTCCAAAAATAAGCAGCTATGGCAGAATAGCTCAACAAAGCTATGGTGCCCCAAGCTCAGAGAGCCCTTACGGTCACAATCAGCAAACATCCGATGTTTATTCGAGTTCTAGCAAAGGGTACACTCAAAGTAGCAACTACGTCTTGAGATCACCTCCAGCTGAACAAGCAGCAGTTGAACAAAGTTCCACGCACACTCCGAAAGACTCCTACAAGGTCCCTTACATAAGTTATTCCCAACGAACTCAGGAATATGGACACCCTTCTGAAGCATCTTACGCCCGAAATACCCAAATGCAAACCTCTCCGCCACCCTCCAATTACAAAACTATGAACGAGCCATCACCCAGAGCTTATGCCAGGCCAGCACTTTCCTCTTATGCTCTCCCATGAGCGTATGTGTATTTGTTTGTTCAGTTCCGTTGTTGTTGTTGTTAATGAAATTTTTCACGTTTGTTAATAAAATTATGAAGAACAAGTGGTTATATATCGGGTGAATTAGATTCCAGCGACGTACTCAGGTTGAGTCACATCTGCTTTTAGAAAACGAATAGCTTAGGACCCGATAACAGCTCTTTGACGAGGTGCTTTGATGGAGAACGTGGATAAATAACAGCTTGTATAGAGTAATCTGAGACAGTAGACCAACCTATCGAGGGATCGTACGTCTATAACCAATGTTATCGTTGTTCTAAATCTAAATCTCTAATCTTGAAGAGGAGACACACCTACAGCTCCCCACAATGATGCATTCGGCCCACAGCCACCCGTAAAACTGTTCCATATCCAGCAGGTACACTTCAGGTAGCCCCGTTCATCGTTAGTAAGATAGACATGATGCTATTACACGATGGGTAAGTATAAACCTACTTCGGCCACCTGAAACGTACATATTCCGCGCCCTCGACAAAAAGGTAAACGCCCATCCCGTTTTGTTTTCATTCTTAGATCACCCAGCAGCGCGTGGTAGGCTATTTATGTTTAGATGTTTGAGCTTTCAAAGTTCTGCCCATGTAATATTGATAACACGGCAACTACCTAAGTCAGTGTTCAACTTTTGAGGTCAAACAGCCCTAGTTTCCTTTACACTGCAGCATTGCTTCGTCATCTACTTTCAACACCTCATTAGCATTACCCCTTGTTACCATATATTATCGTAGCCTGTTGCGAAATGTTCAGAAATGTACAGAAGTGTATTTCGTTCCCTAAGCAAAGCTTGAATGCTGCTATGATACACGATTGAAGTCATCACAATCATAGATAGACCTTGGATACGTATCGAGTATTTTGCTTATCATTACCGGAAGAGTTGGCCAACCAGCGGTTGGTCTCATTTCTTGGCATTATCTAGCAGCCTCCGCACATGGAAGAGAACAAGGAACAGGGCGAGAAGGTACCCTAGATGTTTCTGTTCAGTTAAAAGATATGGGAAAGCTGACGTTGTGATAATCGAGGAAACCCTCTTCAATAATGCCCAAAGAGCTCTTTACCTGTATGAAGTTGTTGTTGTTAGAGAAAAATGCGAAATATTCAACAAACAAATATCCCTTCACCGCTGTAAACGACAACAAGGAAACGCTCCAAGAGGTCAGGCTCCAATCTAAAGCATGTTCTTGAAGCTGTGTGGTAGTTTTCGCCAACAGCTTACCCATAATCTAGTAGCAGCCGTGTGCGACCGTAAGCAGACTCCATAGGGATGTGTTGCGCGATACTCAGTGAGCGGCGATTGCTAGCTAGTTGCCTCGCAACGCAGAATATCGCACGAGTCTAGTGCCACACTGCATGGCGAGCCACTCGAGTTTAAAGCTACTTAACATTACAATCTCCGATAGTAATCAGTGCTATGTAAGGTACATAAGTGATTCAATAATGAACGAAGTTTGATAGCACACTCCTCAACAGGCGTCACTTGTTTCAGTAAAATATACGTATGCTGTTCGGCCGGGATGCGAATTTTCTGACGAGCAACGGATTTACGACGCAGAAAGATCTTTTCGTGTTGATTGCCTAACGCATATGTCGCACCCATCGTGCTGAAAACTCGTTTTCTACCCTATTACACATTCTCTGCGGCGAAGAAATGCTCAGTCAAATGTGGAATTTTCCTTCATTTCAAGTTCAAGGCATGAAAGTGGGGTCACAAACCAGTTTCGGATCCAACAAACCCGAACATGAACTCCCACCTCTTTCCTTTCCTACTCTGTAGTAGCCCACCGATTCTTACAGCAGGAGCAATTACTATGTCAAAAGAGAACCGTAGAGATAATTGTGATAAGATGGTCAGACTGATTACCCTATTCTATCTTTTCCAGGAATCTCAACCAGGGAACGATGACCACAAAGAGTAAGTCTCACTTTTTGAAGGCTTGCAGGTTCTATCGTACTTCAAATTCAAACTATATT